TTTAAAAAATATATTTATATCTACATACATATAAAACATTAATATAGCATACATGCACACAAACGCACACAAATACTTACATTGTACACAGTCAGACCTCATTATACCTACTATCTCGAGACAAACATAAAGTTGGCAGTACATCCGGGCTGGCAGTATAACGGGATACTACCGATTGCCATCCTGACTAGTCGTAGACTGATAGAGACTAGACACAAACTCTGGCCAGTCTTGCCTCTTCTTAATCTGTCTTGCACGATTGCCAGGCTCAGGTCGGTAAAACATAAATAGCAACTAATTAAACGCACAGCTCCAGCTGAACTTTCAGAAACCTCAAAATTGAAAGAAGCTTGGGTCAGAAGCAAGGCTCTTTGAGTCAAGGACCCTGTGGACTGACGGTTATTTTACCCAACACAATCACGTGTACGCGTCAGCACAGTCCTCGCGCCGCCTTAGACCTATCCGGTAGATGTGAGCGTGAGTCCTCACAATATATGAAAGACTTCCCGCCAGCCTTTCGATCATTGGAATCATCTTGGCGACGTCTGATATTGTCGACAGGCTGAGTTGGCACAGTTCTTTTATAGTTTCTCTTGGCGTCTTAAAACTTTTATTCCAATTTTTACAAATAATGATTATATTGGCCAAAGCCCTCAAAGGATAACATTTTCAAAATCAATGCAAATCAGGAGAAAATCGACAAGCGCTAGAAATAGGCCAAGCTTGTAGAGACATGTGGTGTAGGGAAAGAGATTATCAAGCAGCCACTGTGTAGGTGCCGTGCGCTATTTGTAGTGTGTAGGCCTACCTCTGGTGTTCAAGTTACTGGCGGTCAAGCGGGGCAAATTTACATGAGTTTAATAAGGACCATACAACTCAGCTGGTTGGCGGATTATAGTGTAAAGGCATAATAAATACTATGTTTACTATAGGCGTTCCTTTTCATACATTGGCAAAACCTGGCGGTAAGCGTGGCTGGCGGAATAGCTGGGGGCAGTTCAACGAGATGTGACTATAAGTATATTATGTATTATTATAATTATATATTTGTATAACTATACACGTGTACACATAAATATGTACGGTTCTGAAATTGTTATTAAAGTAGGCTACCTAAACTGCCTTGTCATCTCATTCTTATAGAGGGTGCCCATAATAATATTGACAGGATCGAATGGGGCTGGATCGGGTCCATGAATGGCGGTTTTGGTGCACACTACGAACAGATATCTATCTTGTCGTATCAAACCTGACCCAGAAGTTGGATTGATATAATAACTTTGATCGGCGGGCGGTGTTGTCGAACACACAACTTTCCGTTCTCTACATAACCCTCTACATAACCATTTCCTTCAATAGGGGCTTCAAGTGTCCTGTGTCGCATATCATGGTTGATGTGTTGAAGGATTCATTAATTCAACAGATATGGGAACAGTCGATAGCTTCCTACGTTTATTAGTATCAGCCTCTACAACTCTGCATTGTACATTATCCCATTCCGTGTCCAATCCTAACACATTGTGACTCGTAGGCTACAATCCTTGTGATTGGGTGTGCAGAGTCTGACAGCTACGAGCGATTCGACTCGCAACCTTGAAAAACGTACGTGTTTGATTGGGAAGGCCACAGTCGAATAAAGTCGAATTTGGTCAAATCGTGCCCAAATGGTAGCTTTTGTTTCTTCGCGAAGGAAAATCTCGCTGGTTCCGATTGAATCAAATTAATTTGATTAGCAGCGTGCATTAGGCATTAAATCTAATAGTCTTCGCACAGCACACTTTTCACCTGACGTCTTAATTGGCGCTATCTTTGGAAGATTGTCTTCAAGAGAGCTCGTATTGGACAAGGGTGACAATCCGTAACTTCTACTTGCTATTTAAGCGTTGGGTCACGTGAAAATAAATTCGTGGTTACACGCTTTGTGTTAGAAGCATCGGCGAGAATAAATTTTTATAACTAGCAAAAATGGAAGCGTTGTTTGAAACAGCATGTCGGAAGATAGACGAGGAAGCAGAGGAGTTGAGAAGCTTAAGTCACTTAATCTGGTCAAACCCGGAGTTAAATTTTGAGGAAAAAGATTCGCACAATGTGATAACTGATTTCCTCGAGAAGAGGGGATTTCGAGTTCAGAGGAATTATGTGTTAGAGACAGCCTTCTCAGCGGAGTGGGTAAACTGTGGTAAGTTATCGTGGGGTTAGTTGGGTTTTTTTTCACTTCTCCCTCCCTTCCTCCTCCCCCTCCTCCGCCTCCTCCTCCCCCTCCTCCGCCTC